AGAGAGAGGTCTATCAAAGAGAATGGTTTAAGGCATGGGAGAGACCAATGCCTTTGACTAGGAGTAACCCTCAAAAGAGGGTTGAAGTCATTTAAGCATAGGCCTCAATCCCAAGCATTAAACACAACCTTAAGACTAACCAATCCTCAAAACAAATCAAAAATGAAGAAATGAGGGAGATGGCAGATTTTTCACTGCTAAAGTGGCATGCTAAACAAGACTCTAACATGAAAACACTTCAAGTACAACATGCTAGTAGGCTTAAACATTGAAACTAGTGAAGAACACAACACTAGAACCATACAATGCAATGCTCAATGGACTAAACCAGCCCTAAACAGACGTCATGCATGCCAAAACAGTGGCCAAAATGTGCTGAGATGATGGCTTGAAAGGTAAGAAAATGATGCTCATGCAATGGCTTACAAACAAGGCATAAAGGTGCAACTCTCAAGAGTACTTAAAGAGTGAAAAACATGGAAGTGTGACAACACTATATGCTCTGAAATAACATACCAAATGATGCCAAGACATGCAAATACCTCAAGCCAAGCATGCAAGATACCTCAAAACTCAAAGCTAGTCAAGGTTATTGCACTACAAGCATGCATAACAAACATTATACGACTAAGAAGGCTCTAAACAGGGCTAAAGCATGCCAAAATATGAATAAAATCATGCTAGAGTATAGCCAAAATAAGCTAGAATAATAGGCTAAAGAGACAAGCATGCAAGGCTAGCTAGCAAGGATTACACTACAAGTGTATAAAGCATGCAAGAGGTGAGTCCACCAATCAAAATCAGAGTTATAACATGCCAAAATAACAACAAAAACATGCTTGAACTAAGCTAATTCAAACCACAAGAGCATGCTACTTTGTAAGGCTAACAAGGCTAGTGAGCAAGATTGCACTACAAGTGCAAGAAGCATGCAAGAGGTGACCAAGCTGACCAAAAATAGAGTTATGGTAGGTCCCAAAAGTCACAAAAACGTACTCAAAGTAAGCCACAAAAAGAGATAAACACATGCTCATTTGGTGGGCCAACAACACAAGCAAACAAGACAAGAGGAGAGGGGACCACCCCCTCCTATTTAGGACCTCAAAACAAGGTTTTTACTACTGAAAATTCTCTAGATTTCAGCGGTTAAAAGGCCAAGAAAATTTGTTTTGAAAGGCCTTGAAAGATAGCTCAAAAGGCTTTACAAGCCAATGAGCAAAAGGGAGAGACAACCCCCTAGCCAAACAAGGCTTAAACCACCATTTTAGAACCTCAAAATCAGAGTGTTTTATGGTTCAAAACCAGCCCCAAAATAGTCCAAAACAATGGAAAAAGGATGGTAAAGCAAGTGTGAAAGACAAGCTTAAAGGGCGAAAGTTTTACCTCTTGGAGGGGAGCACACTTTGAGGCACAAAACCAAGTCAAAACCTCCTTAATGAGCTCCAAGAAGACCTTCTAGTAACCTCATCCCAATGATCAACAACTCTTGTTAAGGGTTGATAGGTTGAAGATGATTGTATGCAAGCCTTCAAACACAAATGCCAAGAGAGAGTGAAATCTAGAGAGAATATTGAAGAGAGAGAGGCTCTCAAATTTCTTCCTCAATTGTTCTCTAAATGTTCTAACCCTTGAATATGAGATATAAGGTTTCATTATATAGCAAAAATGGAGCATTTGGTCGAAAATATCTCAAGAGAGACA